CGGCCGTCAAGCGCCGCAGCCCGTGAATCACCACAGTCCAGGAAAGAACAGCTACGTGTGACGTGCAAGCCCCAGAACAGGACTCTGGAGGCAGACATTTAAAGTGGATTTTAAACGAACAAACTAATGCCAGTCTCGAAGAAACGGTTCTGGAAGAGGTTATGTAACTGTAAACCAAGGCCCTGCGGAAGAATAAGGCCGCTCTGTTGTGATGCATGACTGTTCTGATGAGGGCGGGACTCGGACAGCACCAGGGACTTTTACACGCCGGTGAGTGGACGGAAATGCGGGACCGAGAGCATCGTCCCCCGCAGCCTGCTTGTGTTTCAAGGGTTAAGCCCCACGGAAACTCCCGCACGGACGCTCACAGACCGACTCACGCCCGGGACTCCACTGTCAGGTGAGCGCTGCACAGTGATCCTTCCGTACCTGTCTCTACGGCCTTCCAGAACCCCAGGGGACGGAAAACATGGTCCTCACTTCCTGAAGAGGCTAAATAAAAAGGGAATTTTATACCCTTTTAATTTGAATACCCGTTCAAGCTCTCCTATGGGTGACACTAAAAAACCATCTTCCGGGGGCGCCTGGGTGGCTCAGTGGGTTAAGCCTCTGCCTTCGGCTCTAGATCATGATCTCAGGGTCCTGGGATCGAGCCCCGCGTCGGGCTCTCTGCTCGGCAGGGAGCCTGCTTCCTCCTCTCTCTCTGCCTGCCTCTCTGCCTACTGTGATCTCTGTCAAATAAATAAAGTCTTTATTTTTTTTATTTTTTATTTTTAAGACAGAAATCACAAGTAGGCAGAGAGACAGGCAGAGAGAGAGGAGGAAGCAGGCTCACCACTGAGCAGAGAGCCCGACGCGGGGCCCGATCCCAGGATACTGGGATCATGACCCGAGGCGAAGGCAGAGGCTCAACCCACTGAGCCACCCAGGCGTCCCATAAATAAAGTCTTTAAAAAAAAATTAAAAAAAAAAAAAAAAAAAAAAAAAAAAAAACATCTTCCGCGAAAATCTTCCGCGGCCCCCTCTGATGGAGCGTCCTGCAGGGAAGGACCCGACACAGACTTGTCTTCACCCTCCCGGGCTGGAACGAGCCAGTCAAGCACCTGGACACGATCTCTGTAGTCACAGCCGCGGGGCCGCCCGCGTTTCCTACGTGCATTTTAGCAGCAAGAACGGTTTGGACCACGTTCCTCTCGAAGTCTGCAAGGGTTCACAGCCGCGACCGGCACAGGAAGGGGCATAAGCAGCCCGGGTCCGACTGGCGTCTACACAGTGACGCGGACGCGCCCCATCCCAGTCAGGAGCGCGGCACCGCTCCTCGCACGACGGCAACAGAGAGAACGCCTGCGGGTCCTCGCGAACGCCTCGGGAGACATGTGCGCAGGCGCAGCCCCTCCGCGCCACCAGCGGCACTTCCGGGACGTAGACTCACGGTGTCTTTTGAAACAAACTGCAGGAGGCGGTCTTCGGCGTCACTCTACGGCGCTGCCCGTGGCCTGCAGAGCCGCGTGTCTGCCGCGGGCGCCGGCCCGGCCCCGCAAAGGATGAGCTCGCGGCGATGCCGGCCGCGATGGGTGACAGAGACCCCATGTGGGAAAGAAGCTTCCTCGGGATTCCCAGGAGCTTCCGGTAGCCTCACCTCGACCCCGCGTGGATACCTGCAGAGCCTCCTTCCTAGGGCCTAGAGAGGAGGAAGTTTACTTCATCCCCACTCATTTGCTCATTATTAGCAACGTGACCTAAGGAGACCGATGCTGAGACGATGCTCAGGCGCTCCAAGGAAGGAAGGAGAACAAGAAGGAAGGAAGGAGAACACGGAGTCCTTCCTCCCAGAAGAGGAAGAGATGGGCAGGGAGGCCGGGGATAAAGTGCATCCTTGTCTCCTCCCCTTCAGGAGCCCACTAGGTGACACTAGTTCTCCTGGTGTTTGGGGGAAGAGGGGGTGACAGGATGAAGAGACCTCACCTCGCCTCTATTTTTTTAAGAAGACCGTCTGCTGCGGCCCTGGTTAGGAATCGAAGAGCGGAAGTGCTGACTGTTCCGAGTCAAGATGGTCAATGAAAAGAGCCAAAGCCCTTCCCAGCCACCGCCCCACGGAGACTAGGTCTTCGGTAATCCTCAGCTAATAATTCCAGTCCAAGAATTAAGGAGCATCTATATCATGACAATGGGACTGTCCTATAATTAAACCAGTGTTCGGTCATCATGGTCCCTTGCCTTTACCCTATCCTAAGTAGAACTGCCTCAAACACAAAGACTTTGAAGTCATGTGGGCAGTATCTGTAAAGGTAGAAGAATCTAGATTGGCAAAACAACCCTATTCAGTCATAGGTGTATCTCTGGAGTGAGGATTTATTCCACTATTTTCGGAGAGGGGGGTATGGGTCTAACAAAGGCAAAGGGTTTTGATTTCGTTGTATAGCCCAAACATACTAAGCACTCACTTCTGCCAGGGAATGAGACTGTCTCCTCCAGTCTCAGACACAAAGAGCTCTCAGAAGTGGCCACAGAGTGTTTTGGGAGACAAGGAGACTCTATGTATTTCCAGATACTCCTTTTTACTTGCTTCAGATCAGTAACTAGATCTCTGTGGGCACAGGGGAAATAAAACGAAGCAGAGAGGCGCAAATCACAGCCTGCCGCAGGAGGCAGGATGCCCGTCTGTATTTCAAACCCGGCGAGCTCCCCAAAAGCCGGGCTAACACCCCTGAGGCACCCAGAAATACTGAAGTGGATGCCACGGCATACACTTTGTCTCCCCGAAGTGGCCACTCTGCTTTCCGCTTCTTAGCTCTGGCGCATGGCTCTGTGGCCGTCTCCCGACGCCACAGTGGATTCCTATGCTGCCTTCAAAATCCAGCTCATGTGACTTCCCAGGGGGAATTTTTCAATAATATCTTCATCATTCCATGCCCTCTCATCCCAAGGAGCGTCTTCTCTGGGAGCGGGCACATTTCTCTACTAACACACTGCACTAATTCTGTGTTCACACATCCAGCTTCCACACAGATGGTGGGTCCTTGGGGCCCAAGTTAATATATTATTCCTTATTATATTTTATTACATTTATGACATTCCCAGCATGCTACCTGATTCTTATAGCTATTTCATTGATCTTTGATAAACAGGAAAAAAGTGTTTTGATTCGTAATAGCATTTTTTTTCTCTTATAAAATTCCTTTGTTGTTCCTTTAAGCATTTCATTTTTTTTAGTTTAAAATTTCATGTTTTATTTTTTATACCTTCTGTGTACATATACAACTGATTTTTACATATTGTCCTCATATTGTGCTACTATGCTAAATTCATTAATTTTATTTTTCAGCATAACAGTATTCATTGTTTTTGTACCACACCCAGTGCTCCATGCAGTCTGTGACCTCTCTAATACCCACCACCTGGTTCCCCCAACCCCCACCCCCCCACCTCTTAAAACCCTTCAGATTGTTTTTCAGAGTCCATAGTGTCTCATTGCATTTCATTTAAAAAGCTTCTCTTTTGCTCTCTTTTCTTGAGTCATTTATATCCTTTTCCATCTAACTTATATTAAATTAAAAGGAGAAAAAATATATATGCACATACTATTACAATATCTTTTCTGTGGGCACCAGTTAGTGAGTTTGTTTTTTAATCTAGAGTCTGCACACTGTGGGACATCAACAAGTAAAGCGGTTATGTAAGGGGGGTCCTGCCTCGTAAAACCAGAGCTGGGAAATCCTGAGAACTGCGTTGCGTTGACCTCGTTGCTGCACAATTCTTTCCTACAGTCCACAGTTAGTGCTTTGCTCTTCTTAAGTGACACAGTGCTGAGATGTGCTCTACCTCAAGACTCTTCCAGAGTTCTAATTATTATAAACAATAATTTATTATAAGACAAATTTACATTTTCTGTTTTAAACAAAATCTCCTTTCACCAATTATACCATTGGATCAGGCCTGAGAATAGCATCTTTAGAATATGCATATATTTTAATTTTATAATTATCATGTGAATAAAAATTATACCTCCTTTCAATAAGGATAATTTTTTTAATTGCCACAATGGGATTTGATGAATGCGCTTACATTTTGTACCTTTTGTTCAGATGTACAATAATGAGTCCTCTTAGATATCATGATGAGAAATTATGTAGATGGTACTGTATTTGTTTCCTCAGGTTCAGGGGAGAGTGAGAATGGAAACCTATAAAGCTAATGAAACTGTATATAATCACAGACTACTCAGGAGAATTAATGATTTGGAGCCTGGGCTGTCCCAGAGGCCTCGACTCTGATAATCTTGGCCTAAACTTTTATTGTAATCATCACGCCAACCACCAAATGGTTCAGCCAAGCGGTTAACAAGGGTCTTCAGTATATAGATTATAGGAGCTAATATGGCAATGAGCTTTGGATAGAAATCCCAGTTTTTACTGCTCCTAAGCCCATGGTAAGAGGCTCCTAGAAAATTTTTTTTTTTCACTGTAGTCTGTTGAAGGGAAGCAGTCCAGTGAAGCAAAGAGAACCCTGGTCAGGACATTTGAGCAAAGATTTAAAAGTTTCATGGGAAAATAACAGCTTGAATATAAACCTTTAGTTGTAAATCACTAGATGTGATAAAAGAAGCTGAAGAATCAAAATAATTATGACAACCTGTTTTCAGCATGTACAGTTAACCTACAAACACCAAAACACCAAAGTCTTTAAAAGATCAATCTTTTATACTTTAAAACACCTTTGGATGTAGAGGCTTAACTATCCCTGGAGTTCATTCGAGTTCCTCCTCTTTGTTTAGTCACAAGGGCGTAGACAACCCAGCTTTGTATGGCTGCACAAACAGCACACTCAGAGTCGCTGAAGAACCAGCCCCCTGATGTCACCTCTTCCTGAACCCTTCGGAACCATACAGAACAGCAGGTCTGCCCTTCCTTTCAGAGTCAGATGCTCACGGCCACTGAAGGTTTACATAGTCCTAGCTCAGTCAGGGAGAAAAATAATTCTAATTCCAGCTGTTGGCTTACCTTGAAGAACTTCCATGGGGAGAACAGTCCAGGCATTCTCCAGGTAGGAAATGTAAATATAGCGTGCCGTGTTGCAGGCCAGGCCAATGTAAAGAACCCTTGAACACAAACAAGCAAAGGTAAGTAAGTCAAGACCCTGTACGAGACATAAAACACACCAACATTACATACATTTCCCGTCCGCATCCTCCGTCAGCCAGCAGTGCTTGGACCTGGGATCTGGGAAGCTAAAGGACAACTAAATTTAACCATGGCCTCCAAGGAGAAGAAAACTGCTCCCAACATATCTGCCCTCTGCCTTTTCAAAACACTCGTTAATATAAAAGCGAACATCACCCTTCCTGAAACTGAATTAGTAGCACAGTCAATGCTTTTTTAAGATAGTCTGGGCACACGGCCATCTGTAATGACTTTACTGGCTTCCTTCCAGACGGCTGTAGGGGAAACATGCCGGGGGCTGTAGCTACTTCACGATGCTGGGGGAAGGGCAGGACAGAAATGAGAACGTGAACATGAACATGGTCCCACATGCAATACCCAAGCCACCAACGAGTTTTATAAGGAGACTCTCAAGGTCATCCAAAACTATCATCCAATGATGAATAATAAACGATCTGGAAATCAAATACTTTCTTCCTATCAGTTCAACGGATACATCTTCATTATTTAAAAATAAATCCATGATATCATATGTTGACCGAACTAATGAATATATGTCAACATCGCTTCCTCCCTCACAAACACCACCACCAAAATTACGAGAGAAAAAAAAGGCCTTAAGTGATGCCTCCAAGCACAGGGTTACGGTCTCTCCCATTCTGAGCTGAGTGAGCCGGCTTGGAAGCAAATGGTGGCTGCGTCTTTGCACAAAATGTAACCTGATGGTGGGGATTTCTGTTTCTAGTTTGTTTTCCATTTTCTGTTACTCTTCCTAACCTTAACGCTTTTCTTTTTTTCTAAGTTCGAGTGGGTGAAAACTCGAAGGTAAAAGAAATAAGCCAATAGGATAGTCAGTGGTATTTTCCTCATCTTGCTCAACTACGTTTTTATATTAAAATTATTCCAGCAAACACGGTTCTCTTTGCCCATCCTTGAATTAGGGAAAGGAAAGCTTCAAGGCATCCAGCTGGTATCACCTGCAAATATGGAACAGAAGGATGGGAGAAAGAGAAAAAAGTGTTGAGGGACAGAGATGGGAGAGGAAATGGATATTAAAAGGGATTTAGGGGAACTTCAGTATTGAAAAGTTCTGGGTTATCATATTCTGTGAACACTATGTTCTTTTTACTGGTATGTTTTAAGGAAAAAAGTATATATTTCAAAGTGCTCAACATCACTCTGCATC